AAAATTATTAGAGATAGAGAAAGAGTGCAAATAGATTAATTTGGTCCAAAATTATTAGAGATAGAGAAAGAGTGCAAATAGACTAATTTGGTCCAAAATTATCAGAGATAGAGAAAGAATGCAAATAGACTAATTTGGTCAAAAATTATTAAAGATAGAGAAAGTGTGAAAATTGACTAATTTGGTCCTAAAAATTATTAGAGATAGAGAAATAGTGAAAATTGACAAATTTGGTCCAAAATGATCTATCTCGAAAATGATTAAAAACAGAGAAAGATTGCAAATTGACAAATTTAATTTTGCAAACAATTTGAAAAAAATCCATAACACAATAAAAAATATTACTTTCTCCCATAAACTTATATGTACAAATTACACACCCAAAGACACAAAATACCGACAAACCACAATTTACAATTCCCTCCGAAATAAACATGGACGATTGCCGTCAAGAAAAAACGAAATATTTCTTCAAATACCACCATACATAAAAGTTGCATCGATATCGTCGATTATCACTCGAGGATGTTCCCCCCTATAGCGAGATAACGATAAAATACACGGAAAACTGTTTGAAATTCTAGCGGCCAGGAGGTTTTTAGAACTCGTTCTCGTAAAGTTAGGTTATGGTTATCAGGAAACGGAAACGAGGATAGAGGATAAGATTTTCCTTGTAATGTTCAGTATTACACGGATAACCGCGGAACAAATTACGTCGCGATCCTTTAATACCGCGGCCAGCAGCCAGAAGGATGGGCCGTAAGTTAGCGAAGAATTCGAGGGAGAAAGATGGCGAAAGAGGAAGGGGAGCCGAGGGAATACGTAATCGAGGAGGAAGCGTGCAAACGCATGTAGTAATAATGTAATAATGTGAGGTAGTTGTGACGTGATGCCAAGCCGCAGGGATCGCGGACGGGAAAAGGGGAAGGACTCGATTCTGTTGCGCCTTGTACACACGGTATGACATGGGGTTACATACACGATCGCTGAATGCTCGCTAGTTTACTGCACTCGAGATGAAAAGGGGAATTAAACGCCTTGTTATACAGGGTGGCCTGCGTAAAAAGAAACCAGTTAATTGTTTTTTTTTTTTTTTTAGCTGCGATGGTGCAACGAACATTTTTATGTCAAATTTAAATGATTTCAAAGGGTGAATTAGAAGACAAATTTTTTCTTTGGTGGAAGAAATGGTAAAGAACGAAAGGAAGTTTTACATTTGATTTTTAATTTTATTTGATTTAGATATTTGGAAGATTTCAATATTTCATTTGATTTATTTATTTGGAAGATTTTAATATTTGATTTAGTTAGTTGGAAGATTTCAATATTTCATTTGATTTAGTTATTTAGATTGCAAATTTGGAATTTTAAGTTTTGATAAAATACCGAAGAAGCTCACAATTTTATAATAGTTAACGTTATCATTCAGTGGACGAATTCGACCTTAATGCAATATTGCAAATATTTCATATGTAGACTCTAAATTATTAAAAAAAAAATTACAAATATTTCATATATAGACGTAAAATTTTATTCGCAGTAATGCAGTGGACAAGGTTTCAACGAAGGAAACAATTTCAACATCTAAGAATAACAACAAAAATGAAAAATTAATTATAATTGGCTAAGCAAAAAAGAAAGAAAAAACCACTAGCTTACGTTTAATCAACTGAATTTATAGTACATATCTCGTGTCAAGACCAATCTTCCTATCCTCGAGCTGAAATAAAATGGCCGACGAGCCAACGAATGTTTGCAATTATCGTTTTAAGGAGGCAGCCTCGTAAAAGGTTCGAGATTTCGAAGTATGTATGTACTAAGAAATCGAAGGCTAATCGAGCTACTTCCACAAGGTTGAAATCTCCTCTATACCTTCGACAAATTTGCGGAAGCGCTGCTTCGATGTTTTCGCTGATCGATTCAATCTCGTCAATGAAACATGGTGAAGCTGAACGAAAGAGACGTGAACGATGAAGATGCCAGGATTGAATTTACAAAAATAGCCACGTTAATATCTGTAATAACGAAAACAAACTGTGGAATTAGAATAAGAACAATTTCATCGTTAAATAGACGTCTTCCGTTGAGTATCGTCGTTAAGGTTGAAATAGTATCGTGTTTAATGTTCATTTCGCATTGAAAACAGCGAAGAAAACTAATTGAACGGTGTTACTTTGCATCTAGAATGGAATTGTGCTCGTACAAATGATTGAAAATTTTAATGCCGGTTCAGCTAGCCTGGTCGTAACCATTAACCTTTTAATACTCGTATTAACTTTTCTCATTCTATCTTCCTCTTTCGAAAGACAATTTCTAATGATTATTAATTAAACGCGTTGAGAACTAAATAATGTTTATTTCAAATTCTTCCCTTTCCTCTGTGAAGGTTTGATCTTTGAAATGTTCAAAATTGACACCAAATGAAACTTAAATAATTTTAATATCTCATAAACTGAGCCCTTTCTCTGGAAAGTCGAACGAGGGGGCTCCAACGGTTTTTCGGAGCAACGTGGGATACGACGCGGAAAGGACATTCTGGAAATAGCCGTCGAGCAAGACGGACGCCGGAAATCTTAAGAAGCGCTTAGAAATAAAGAATAAGTTATTTTTAAGATACCGCACTATCCGGATATTAGTTCTTTGTTTTCCGAGTGTTACTTACACATTTTTAGAGTACAAGTTTAAGAAACTCCCATTGTTATTTCTTTCACTTCTTTATTTTGTGGGTGACGGGAGAATAAACGTACGCGTGCTCGCGCTTGAAATCTTTTATTTCGAAAACCCACACGAGATGTCTGATGTCGCTCGTGCGACTTTCGGACGTTGAATCCCTTCGCGTCGTCGGCCGGGACCCTGGCTGCCCTCGGAACGGATCTCAAGTGTCTCCCCGCTTTCCGAGGACAGCCATCCTTATCGGCCCACCGCGACATCGACAGCAACGAAAGACATGTCCGTTGCGCGCGTCTCGCAGTCTCGATGGTGTTTACAATATGGCGCCTTGCGCGCTGCATTGGCCGCCACAATTTCAATATTATTGTTCTTTAATTCTCATCGAGTATCGCACTTTAAGTGTTAATTGTATAAAAAGCGGTGAAATTGAACCTCGCTACGTCGTTTCAAAGGGTTCAGTTATACATTGCCTTCCTTCAGTCATTTGTACCGAGTGCAAAAACTATCCGGAAGTCGTGGAGGAACAAAGTATTCGTTACTCGCGCCTCCATTTGCGATTACACGTTCCCTCCGTGTAACCAAGGATGACTCGCTGATATTACAAATAGTTATTCAACGAAAGGGAATTGAATGGGAACATGTGTCCCCGACGTAGAAAATGAAAATTCGCAACGAAAGAGGAAAACACGATTAAGGACATTGTTAACGCAGCTTCCCACGCTTCTCTGTGGTTGGAAGGTCGGGTTGGCGTTGGTAATTATTGCGCGTGTATGTGCCAACTACTTATTGTCGCGATGGTGATCGCGCTTTATTTGTGATGTCGATTTTTGCGGTCTGGACCGCACTGGTGTACCAAGAATGTCGAGTATTGCGTGTTAGAGCACTCAAAGTGGTGTCGATTGTTTCTAAGTATATTAGAATCTGCTCGAATGTCGTGAACTGGCTGTATACAATAAATTCTCTACAAGTGTCAGTCAGTTTGGATTCTACAAGTGTCAGTATAGATGGTCCTACTCCTAGGCTGCGTCATTGCCGCGCCTATGTTATCTCGCTCGCTGTCAGTCAACAGCTCGAGATTTCACAGCTCGACAATTCATAATAGAAAAATATAATTTCTTTAATTTTACTTTTTTTCATCTGAAATTTTTTTTAACATGTTACTGAGATTTTTCTGATGAAAATGATATCAAACACGACATAATTTGAACAACATTTACTTATTCACTGTCACGCTAGACAATAGGGATAAAAAAACATAAAATTAAAAAAGTTGATATTTAAATCGCTTGGTTGCCTCGACTCACGTTTCATCCTTATCTTTTATTCGCTGTCCTTGTCTACGTTCGGCAAACTACAAAGGCGGGCGCGAGGCTCGAAAACGTAGTCCCTGACTCTACAAGTGTCAGGTTTAGGTTCCTTGCGGACTGACACTTGTGGAGAATTTACTGTATATCTCTGTTCGCCAAAATGGAGAGTTTACCCAATGGGGAGTTTACCTTGTTGGCAAATCATGGAGCCGCTCTCCTAGGCCCTCGTGCACTCCCCCGTGGTCCGCAGAGTAGGGCGTTGGCAGAGAGGGAGAGACGGTCCCAAACGGGGGTGTCAGCCCCGCGTGGCGATTTTGCCGAAACGTCGACTTTACGGGTTTATGGCATGTTTACCGTTACTGAGCGCGCAGAGGCAAGTACCGGCTTACCATGTGGCCCGCAGAAGTGGAGAATTTCCGCGGACATCAGGTAATAAGCCGGATTTGCCCTCTGGCTTCAATAGGATATTGTTATCAAAAACTTGTAGAAAAACTTCTCAAAAGTAACGTCGCTTGGAATCCGTGCCATAAACCCCTGTTGGTTAAACAGACATTATAGTATTTTCTCTGTTTTACTTTAGTTCGTCAGTGTAGCATGAAATATGGCAGATGTAATGAAACATGGTGTTAATTACTGAAATTGGAAGATTAAGAGAGAAATTTTCTTTATTTTTTTAATTTACCGTGTGAGACTAATAAGCTTCATTATTAAAAATTATGGAATCGTTGAATTACAATTACAATTGAAATTTTCAAAACTTTGTAACTTGAATGCTATTAAATTTAGAATTATAGAATTGAAGAGTTTATAATTCTGAAAAACTTCTAATTACAGAATTGAAGGATTTTAAATTACAGGATTGAAAAATTTCTAATTACAAAATTGAAAATTTCTAATTTCTCAGGTATTGAGCCAAGTGAAGCTCGATTTACAAGTGAACTGAGAAAAACCGCTACAGAAGTAAATAAGGAGACTGAAAGGGGTAACAGAATAAGAATCTTAAGGCGCTTTACCTGGTTTCAGTACAAAGACGCTGAAGTGTTGGACATCGACGCGCTTAACAACACGAAAAGAGCGGAGAAGAAAGTCTTGTTCTTCAATCGCGTACCGAAAGTGGGCTCTCAAACCTTCATGGAACTGTTAAGGAGGTTGTCGATGAAAAATGGCTTTTCATTCAACAGAGATCGCGTACAAAGAGTTGAAACTATACGTCTAGCGCCCATTGAGCAGGTATTGAAACATTAACAAAGTACCTTATCTTTGAATTATGAAACCTGCTAACACATAGCTGCGATTAAGTAACCAATAAATTTTTCTCTACTGTTTTTTCATTTTTCATTTTCTCTACTACCTTTTCATTTTTATTTTTCTCTACTGTTTCTTCATTTCTAATCTTCTCTACTATTTCCTCATTTTCAATTTTCTCTGTTTCTTTCTAATTATTTCTCTAAAGAAATTGTAATTTGGATACGTACTCAGACACACGCTGAATTCATGCATACCTATGTGTAAATAAAAATTTGAAACAGCATTTCAATATCACCTTACTAATTAATTACTCATTTTCAGCTTCAACTTGCCAGGATGGTCAGTAGCTACGCAGAACCGTCTGTATATATAAAACACGTGTGCTTCACAAACTTCACAGAGTAAGTGTCTCGAAATCAAGTGAAATTAAGTTGCAGCAGAATAATTTCCTCGATAAATTAATCACACACATCTCGGAGTGAAAACTGCCTAAATTTTCTCTACAAATCAATACGAAAAAAATAACAATGACTTTGTCTAATTTCAATCTGTTGCTGAACACAAAAAGTTGCAAAAAAGAATTTTCATTCTTCACATTTTCAAAGTTTCGTTTAAATATCATTTCTAAAATCGAACATTATTAAGAGTGTCCTTCGACATTCTCAATCTAAATTGGACAACATGGGAATATCGAGAGAATCGAATCCTATTTTGGTAAAAAAAACTCGCACAATTGTTACAATTCGTATTTAGAATTCACGATCCATCAGAGTGCTATCTCCTCTTCGCGGAAGAAACGGGAAAAAAGAGATCTTCTTAAACGAAGAAAAACAAATTGCCCGGAAGTAGCTTCAATTCGATTCCCACGGGATGCCTAACGTTCGACGCTTTTTCTGTCCAGGTTCAACCTGCCGCAGCCAATCTATATCAACATAGTCCGAGATCCTGTCGAGAGAGTGATATCCTGGTACTATTACGTGCGAGCACCTTGGTATTACGTCGAGAGAAAGCAAATATTTCCAGATCTTCCACTGCCGGATCCTAACTGGTTGAAGAAGGACTTCGAGTCCTGTGTACTTAAGGCGGACCGTGAATGCAGATACCTCGAGGGTGAAATTCACGAGGGGATCGGTGACCATCGCAGGCAAACGCTCTTCTTCTGCGGCCACAGCGAAAAGTGCACGTAAGTTCCTTTTTAACTGCAGTTTAACGTGTTCGGGATGCCAGAGAAATTCAGGCAAGGTTTACTATTGTCGGTGTTTCGTTTGATTTTACCGGAAAGTTTGGTATTATTAATAGGTACTTCATTCTTCTGTTTCTAATCTTCTCACTGTTGTAACAGAATATTATAGAATAACGTAATAGTCCTTAGATCTCTTCTGTTATTCGCGCAGGAACGATCAGTGGGTCACGTTGACTGTTCAATCTTTCTGTCATTCGTGATAGAGTGACCCATCGGTGGGTCACGTCGTCTATTCAATTTTCTTCGATATCCATGCTGGAATGACCCACTGGTGGATCACGTCGTCTACTCAATCTTTTCTGTCATTCGTGATAGAGTGACCCATCGGTGGGTCACGTCGTCTATTCAATTTTCTTCGATATCCATGCTGGAATGACCCACTGGTGGATCACGTCGTCTACTCAATCTTTTCTGTTATTCGTGATAGAATGACCCATCGGTGGGTCACGCTGTTTATTCAATTTTCTTCGATATCCATCTGGTGGGTCACGTCGTTTTTATCATCCTTCCCGGAATAATGACCCATTAGAGGGTCACATCGTCTATTTTATCTTCTTTATAGTGGGTCATGTCGGTTATTCAATTTTCTTTGTTATCGATGCTGGTATGACTCGACCGGTGGGTCACGTCGTCTACTCGATCCTTTGTGTCATCCACGTCGGAATGACCCATTGGTGGGTCACGTCGTCTATTCTATCTTTTTTTGTAATTCCTGCTAGAATAATGACCCGTTACAGGCTCACGTTGTCTATTTAATCTTCTTTGTCATCTATAACGGAATGACCCACTGATGGGTCACGTCTGTAAATGAAAGCCTCACTCGATGACCCACCGGTGGGTCGCACATCGATACATTTACACTTCAATTTAAACTATAATTACCAACACATCTCTTAAAAAATTTCTAAACCAAACCTCCACTGGAAATTTGACAATTTTCCAGAATAAATTAGAAGGAAACCAAATATGTACCTACTCAAAATCCCAAACTCAATCAATTACACCTATCGACTGTATCAACTGCCTACAAATTCGAAATTTGAACAATGTTATCGTCAACACTGTAACACAATATTTAAAAAAAAAAAAAAAAAAAACAGTAACACAATTTAACTTCTTTCAATATTCAAATCATACATCGTGCATTATTCACATCTCGCTACATCGTCACTTCAATTTCCTTTCTTTCCCTTCCGCAACACGATAATTCCCCCCCGACAACATACTTATCAATTGTCTTTTTCTTCAAGCCCGTTCAACACGGTGGGTGCTCTGGAACGAGCGAAAATGGCTGTGGAGAAACACTACGCGGTGGTCGGCGTGCTGGAGGACGTGAATACCACTCTCACGGTATTGGAAAATTACATACCCCGATTTTTCCGAGGCGCCACAGACGTCTACTATGGTAATCCTTTTGTTTTCCTATTTGCATGTAACTGTACCCCATTGCTAACCTGCAATTACTACGATACAAGCGTGCTCTGCACACAAAACATTTTTCACCAGCCGGAACAACAATCGCATAGACCGAAGAATATCTCTTCGTTCACCCTGTACGATTAATTGTCCACGTTTCTACGATTACGAAACGAAAAAGAAAAACAAGGAAACTGAAAGGACACACTCTGTTTCAGACGAGGTGAACGCGTTCACAAAGATCAACCGAAACTTCTTCAAGCCGCCTGTGAGCGAAGAGGTGAAAGATATGGTGAGAAGCAACTTCACGAGAGAAATTGAATTCTACCAATTCTGCAAGCAACGACTGTACAAACAGCTGAGGGCGTTGAAATTGACCAAGAACATGCCTTCGTTGGGGAGCAATAGTTTGTAACCGTGTGAAATAACTCGCTGAATTATTCTTCTCCGCTGGCAAGGGATAGAGGAAGAAGAAGTTCCAAGACATTTTGAGAATAATTCGTCGAACGACGCGTTTCGACGAACAAGCAGAGAAAACGAAAGAGTTTTTCAAAGGCCTTTTAAAAAGTTACCCTCGAAAGGATTACGAGGACGATGAAATTGTTGAGAAAATGGACAATAACGAATGGAAAGATTAGAGATACGTTGAGGGACAAGCTTGCGCGTAGACGGTAATTGTTAAACGAGGAATTGAAGGAGAGAAAAAGTAATATGATTAATCGTTGCCTTTAAGAAATGTTATTAGTAAAAAGGAATCCGTGGATTTCGAAGAGCGTTTACAAATCCACGAGTCGATCTGTGCGATGGATCGTTAAACGGAACGAATGTTCTAATAAGCAATATCTTATGTGATTCACGCGAGTGAGTGCTTTCAATTTTTTCAACGGGACGCTTGAATCGAGTGCCTGTTATCTTACTTTGTGATCATTTTTTCCCCCATATTATTGTTTTAGTCTAAAAAACAAAAAAAAAAACGAAAAAATGGCGACGCGGCCGCTGAGAAAAATTAGGTTAGCCGAGCGAATATTTACGAGACGAGGCATTAAGAGTATTTATTTGTAATTAACAGGTTGCCACCGGTTCGCTGTGGCTAATTCGACGAATTTGCGTGGACGAAATAGAAATATCAATATTTCCAGAGTAATTCGAAATTGTATTAATTCTTAAGACACGTATTGCGAAGTACTTAATTTTATTAAGATCATCTTAATTGCTAGGGTGAATAACGTTGTAGTCATTCGTGAACTTAATAGAGTAAGTTTCTATGACGAAAAATTGTTTGAGCAGTTAGTTGTTGAATAATGATCGAATATTAAGAGATTCTCGTATTTGGTGATTACTTTCGCTGTGAATGATAGAAAAAGTAGTATGTAGTTGTTTTTACACCCATTAGTACGTGTTTATTGTATCAATGTGTGATGCTAAATGAGATGTTTTTATTAGACTAAATTTTGCGAAATATTTAAATTGGTTAGGTGTATTAAATTTCTATTAAAATTCTTTAGTAACTTAGTATATCGTCTCCCTTATGCTAATACTATGAATGTGCGATTCGATGAATTATGGAAATTCACAGCTAAATGCAAAATGTAATTAGGTAACTCTGGAGATGAAAATCTTAACTTAAATTTAGTTTAACTTAGTTTAACATAAATTTCACTTCGTTACCCAAAAAATAAAGGTTTGCACGTTCATGGCCTTGGCATAAACGGGACAATACACCGATACACTAATCTGGCCATAGTTTGAGCAAAAAGAGGAGAATAGAGACTAAAGAAGAACTGATTAATGCAACATTGCGATCTTACATTTTTCCGTACTTTATTCGTTCCATTTTCAATATTTTATCCCGTTACTATGTACTTCTATCTACTTAAAAATCCATTATTACTTCTCTGGATAAACTTGTCCACGCGAATCGTTTAAATTGGCCACCGTGCGTTTCTTGCGTAAAACGTGTTTCTGAAATCGACATTGTGGTGTTATTCGATCATTTTCTTTGTCTGACGAATGAAAAAAGAAAACAAATGCTGTAAAGACTGATCAGAGAGAGGGACATTGCTTTCATCAAAGGGTATTTAATTGTTTAATTGTTGCAGCGACAGAAACACACAGGGTAACCGTAGGGTATTGCTTTCCAGGCAACTTAGCCGTTTTTTAACGTCGACTTAAGCCGTTTTCTAATGTCCACTATTTTTCCTTTTCCTCTTTTTTTTTTTTTTTCGTAATAAACAACTGCCATTTTCGAACAACACGATTTGTTTCTTTCCTCTTACCTGAACGAACTTACCAACTTTTTATTGAGAGTCAAATGAAGTAGGAAAATATCGACAAAACTTAATTTCACAGCTGACTATAAGACACCATAGCAATCTGTTAATTATACAGAAACAAATTTCTCTTTTATTTACAATTGTTGTTGACTGAATACTTGTAACTGGACTGCGAATTTTTATGCAAATTTATATTTTTCAAATAGTAGAATTTTGGTGGAAAATTATTTCACCTAACAGGTATTACAATAAGCATTATAATTTGGATATTTTTTCATATTACGAGCATTCTGTGCAATTTTCTACCTTTAAATTTCTTATAATGCATGAATCTTATGCATGAAAATCCACAGTCTACTTATAACTATTTTACATATACGTATATTCTTCTAATTCTATTCTTATTAGCAAGACAATTAGGAAGAGATGATTTAAAAAAATACTGTTTCTCGCTCTGCTGCCATTTTTGTTGCTAAATGTCTTTCCTATTATATTTTTGTACACCTATCGTTTTTTGAAATTCACTATTTCTCCTTTTAACAATTCATTTTGCCCCTGTCACGTCATATGTACATTGAGAAAATACATTTTCCCGTCAATCTGATTCGAGCCTTAGCAACTGAAGCAGCGAAAAATTATTATAATTATTAAATCTCGTTCCTTTTTGTAATTCTTTAAGATTTCTATTATTTCTTCTAATTTTATTCTACCCGTAAAACAATTACAAAATATCCTCTAGTTCTAAAATTGCCATTGCCATTTCTTTTTAATTTAATAACACAGTAACCAAACTTTATTATCATACTTATTCAAACTTGACACACAACACTAACAAAATATCGTTCTTCAAATAAGAATAATTAAAAAAAAAATGCTAACATACGAATGATCGAACAATTGACGAAATAAAATCGACTCAACGTTCATTAACAATCCTACCAAAATTTCTAACTCAACTTGACCCTTTGCACTCCTCGAGGCGACTAAGAAGCGACATCATATTTACCATTAGACGCAACTCTAAGCACGTTATTTTCCAGGACGGCAGGTCTATGGATCTCCGTGGATTGTTCACTACACGTTCAGAGATCTCAACAGTGAAACAGTTTGAAAGAACCAACTTCTAATGAAAATACAGTTATACTCGTTTATTACTATGTTAGTTTTAAACAATTGCATTAATTTTTGCTACTTCCTTCTAGAAAAAAGGGCCTTCGAGTGCAAAGGGTTGATACTATCCACCGAGAGAAAAATTCAAGGGATGGTGGAATCTTCCCTAAAAAAAAAGACACCTGTGTCCAAATTTCAATTTACATTTCGAACAACACTGTCTCACATCTTCGCACAACAACGACAAAAAAGAACACGAATTTTTTCGCCGAAGCAACAACAATATCACGGGTCAATGGCGAGTAATTTATTGCTGAAGAAAGGAAAAAAATGCAACGCAATCGACGATAAACTTGTACCGACCTCGATTACCAAAAATCGCGAGTGCAAATAAAACGCTCGCTCGAAAAAAAAAAAAAAAAGAGACATATCGAATCTACCAGGCAGCCACATTCGTATCGTGCATTATAAATATAGATTGAGTTTTCAAGAGCCCCGATGCTTGTGCAATGCAAAACAATGGCAAACGCGATACCCAAGTTGCCTTTTGGCACCGTTAAAAGTCCTCTAAAAATACACGAGGAATCTTGGCCTAACCGGAAGCTACAGTTCAATTATTTTCAGACACGTGCTCGATCGTTCTATTGTTCCGAATGGAGGAATAATTGAAACTTCCTTCTCTCGCATCTTCTTTTACTCCACAAACATCGATACCACAATCTGTCACCTTTTTCACGACAATCAATCAGATTGGAACAAGTGTCTCGATTAAAACAGAGGGTGAAATTGCACAAACTTTTCGCCTACGGAATGATTTTCGAGCAACGTTTCGAATAGAATTCAACGCTTCGGTTGGCAGAGAAGGTGAAAAAAGAATGAAAAAGGAGCTGCACCACGGGGAAAACATTGTTGATATCGTGAGATTCCTGGAATCGGCAAGTACCCAAGTGATAAACCTAAGGTTCGAAAGTAACCCCAGATTGTCAGGTCACTCCTAACGATAAATAATTCTCCAATTGACGTTGCTTGTGAAAATAAATTTCGCACTTTCTCCGTTCGGCTTGCATCACTTGCCCGGTAATTACACGAAACATGGAAAATATCGATAGGCAAATTCTGGTAATGAAATTCTACTAATCAAGCGTAAATCGTGTATTACAAATTCCGATCGAGTTATACCGGTCGAGTAATCAAATTACAATCTACACTAATTTCTGTTGTCGTCCAATTTAAGATACACCTAAACATGCTTCACACTGTTATTCTACCGGCTAATTACAAACAGCAAAAAAAATATAGATTCCTCCCTTTTCTCATAACTTGGTGCCTTTTCCACCTTAAATAATTTCATAAAATTTCTATCGCCAATTTTACAGAAGAAATACTCTTTCATAGCGACGATAGAGTAGTAGTAAACAGTAGAGCTTCTCTATATCGCAATGAAGTTGCCCGATAAAGCCAAGCGTGTAATTGAAATGAAGAACGAACGTGCAAGAGAAGAAAGTGTCACTTTTGATAAATGTTTCGTAAGGACAGAAGAAGAGACGGTCAATCGGTCTTCCATTTATTGTCTTAATAACATATAGAACATGTGTTACAGATATATTATATACGTTTTTTTTTTTTTCTTTTTTTATTCATACGTATAGATACTCTTCTCATTCCTCCATCATCATTCGCTCCACGCCTCGCCGCAACTATTTCTCCCGTTAAAACCTTAAACGCTATCACCCACACCATACGTGACACCGTGTAACAATAAACGCGAAACCTTACCTAACTACGGAGAGAAATATCCAAAACGAACGAAGTGAGATTTAAAAATAGAGTCGAAAGTTGTTTCACAATGGGCAAATCGAGGAAATGGGAAACGGGGATTGAGAATTCGTCGCTATGTATGCAAAATCGTTGCACCGGCTACAACCTGTTCCTTTCTTTGCGATATATAGATCATCCCGTAAGTTCGTGCCGAATTTTACAGAAATTAGTCGAATTTTACGAAAATAGGTCGAATTTCACTTTTACCAAAAAT